TGAGAGAGGATAGGAGAGGCTGGATTCAGAAAGTGATGCTATAAAAAAAAAAAGTGACATCAGTTCTTGAAGCATCTAGTGAAAGATCAACGAGAGACAACATTTGCACGAAGCTGGATCTTCCTGTGGCAAGATGAAAGCATATTGTTACTCAGACAAAACAGACAGATTATTACACCTTGGTTGCACTTTTCGACAGCCTTTCCACTGTGCAGATAAAAGCAAAGAGCAATATTTTCATTTATTTTTCTTTCTGACTGCTGCCCCCTCCCATCACAGAACGAGAGAGACAGAGAAAGAGAGAGGGTGGTTCTCCAGTCTCTTTGTACAGCTAATCTGACTGTTACTCCAGTGACTGGCTGCTCCTGCCTGTGTGTTCCAGAAGTCAGGGCTCTGGGGGGGGGGTGCTTTAATTTTTTTTTTTTTGAAAATGATGTAAATAAACCTTTTCATCTCCATGCACTGAAAATGCAGAATAAAACCCACACTTTGCTTTCTGAGCAGCTTCCTATTATCACATCGCCACTTAATTTTATTTCTATTCTCTCCAAGTTAAATAGAAAGACTGGCTCACAGGGGAGCTGCCATGTGCCTACATAGTGGGGATGTCAAGCAGAGAGACTTGCCGTGCAAAGTTAATTTCAAATCCCGAGGAGGATTTCACATTCCGGCTGGCTCTGACCCACAGTAATTAGCTGAGATAACTAATGATTACTTACTTATTCCTTGTAATTATCTGGATTTAATAATTCGCTGTGTAATTTATTAATTCACTCATAATAGACTTTCAGTACTGGGAATGACTCTTTTAAAGAGGCAAAGCAGGGGAAATTTAGCAGTATTTTCCTCATTGCTATAAATCTGTCTCCTGACAAATGTGGATTTCAGGAACATCACAGAAACCATTGTCTCCCTTTCGTTCCATGGGGACAGCAGTCCAACTTTGTTTTGCCTGCTGCTATAGTCCCTCCCTTCAAGGCTATCTAAAAATGCAGTGAAGTGTTGAGTTCCAAACTGAATCCTTTGCTTAGGCATAGGTGCTATTTGAGTCAAATAATTGCAAATAAAAATTTCTAGACTCATTATTATAACTTACCTAGAATTTCTGAGGTTCACCCTCTGAACAGCATACTTTATAAAATCAAGTGACTTTGTACTTAATACATAAAAATTAATTGATGTATTTGAAGTTCGAAATAAGGCATTTTTACCTTGCCGTCCCCACTAAGTTTAAATTATCTTGGCAAAAAGAGATCTCAGAAATGGTCCTTGATGGTAAAAATGTTATATGCTATTATTTTTTTTAATCTTATTTTGTTATTGTTTTGAGACAGGGCCTTATACTGGAGCCCAGGCTGGCCTGGAATTCACTCTGTAACCCAGAGTGGCCTCAAACTTGCAGCAATACTCCTTCCTCAGTCTCTCAAGTGCTATGATTAAAGTATGAGCCACCACACCTGTAATTTGTTTACAAATATATTTTATAGAAAATGGGAGAATATTACATGGTGTGTAGACTCTAATTCATTTGCCCTTCCATATTTTTCATTGTCTTTCCCTGAGTGATATGTCAGTGAAAATGATCATTTCCCAATTGGTTAATGTCAATATCCAAGAGAAAATATATTCTTCCTGGATAATATAATGTTATGATCCAAAGGGTACCTAGCTATCAACCAGGGCTTGCATGATATTTTGTTTTGTTTTCTATTTTTGATATAGCATAGGTAGCCTAGGCTGACCTTGAATTCTCTAAGTAGCCCAGGCTGGTCTTGAACTATTGGTTGTCTCATCTCAGTCTCCCAAGGGCTAGGATTACAGGTGTGTACCAGCATGCTTCAGCACAACACCTTTTCTTTTAGTGACTTATCCATTTCAGTTTGGATTTACATGGTCATATTAAACAAAAAGATTAGATAATTTGCTTTTAGAGAAGTTAACAAAAAGAAATTACACAGTTTTGAAATGAAATTTAAAATCACTGGGTTGGCTATTAAGTCAATCCATAATATATCTCTTTCCAATAAGATAGCAATTGTGGACATTAAGGAAAAATATAAAATTAATACTAAATGCTGATGGATTTGATTGATCTGACAAAGATTCCAAACACATTTTGCTGTGTATTCAAGTATGTTGAAAAGCAACACCAAGTGAAGATTCTCAAGAACGTATACATAGTTCAGTCTATTCTTACCTTTCATTTCTTCTTTAAAAGCAACTTTTTTCTCTCCAAATCTTTGACTTTGTATGTCTCTACAACTCTAATTCATTAAAATCTTTCAGAATATATTTGTTAAAACAAAAACTACTGTTTCTATAAAACACACATTTAGACAGTCTCTAAGAATGAAACTATTTTCATTTTGACCACAAAAAAAAGTTTTGTTTTGTTTTTGTGTTGTTTTTTACCATGGAAATAACAGACAAGGTGAACTTAAAGTGTGACTCAGTTTTGTTATGAAACTTCATAAGAAACTTGGCCATGTAAGCATACATGTAAGTTGCTGTGTACTTTAAAAATGAACCAAAAAGAATAAGCACCTATTTTATTTTTGTTCAAGATATTCCTCAATTTCTACCACTTCTGCAAAAGTTCACTTAAAGAGGACTTATTGAAGAACTAATACGCTAGCACACTTACCTGTCTGCTTTCAAACTAATTTACTTTTCTCTTGATGAACAAGATTAACCCTTCAATTAAAATCCACATATGGAAATGGAAAAAGTATTACTTACAAAAATAATTTTTACCCCAGATCAAAAACTGTGATATGTTATACACTGAAGTTATATCTCCCATCTAGGAAGGAGGGAAGCTCATGCAAAGAGCCTTTTAGCTGGTCAGCCCCGCTGAGTCCTGTAGTTGCTGACCATGGTTCTGAAATCAGTACTCAGCATATTAAGCTTTGAGGATAGCTGTCTGAAAAGACTTTAGGAAAATTGAATCCAAAGTTAGGGGGAGAAATGGAAGGTGGAACTTTCAGCCTCCAAAATGCAAGAGTAAAACCAGGCTATCAATGTTACTATACCTGAATTCACAACCTTTCTCTTAAAACTAAGGTTTTCTTACACATTTATAAGCACATCTCATTCTAAGTGGACACTTGGATTTTGTTCTTTGGGTATATGCTTTGTTTCAGTTATAGAAAAAAAATGATCCCTCTGCTCATTTGCTTTCTAACTTTCAAATCTATTTTTGTTATCTTTGGAAGAATAATCAGTTTTCTAACAGCATTTAATCCCAACTTGAGCCAGTATGACAATTTTCATGAACTCATGGGCTCTTTTCTAAATCCTCTCCAAATAAACACACCACAACAGTTTCATATGGGGGCACACCACAGGTGGGAAGATTTACCCCTACTGGATGACGTGTTTTCTTCCTCTTGTTTGAGCTACACATTAATATAATTTTCTCATGCTACTTAATTGTATGAGCTTTGGAAATGTAAAAATCTAAATCAGAGTCTTACTGGAAAAAAATAAACTTTGAAAACCTAATGTATTATTTATTTATTGTTGGGAATCTAGAAATTATTAGAATGAATGAGGAAGTGTCTTTAAAGTGGGAGCAGGAAAAGAAAGATCTGTACCAAATGGGCAGAATTCCAATGCCACATTAATGTTTAATAGTCTCCCACAAACTCCTATGTCAGACCAAGTCACAGAAAGGGACAAAAATGTGTTCCTTTCAACCACCCAGGATTTCGTTCTCAGCCACACTCTGTCTATTGCAATAATGTTATTTTCCTTAAAGGTTATGGGAAACACAAAGAGACAGAGACAGAGGAGAGCAAGACAGAGGTTTTATTCAGGTACTTTCTACTGTGGCTTAAGTCGTTGATCTCCAGGACAAGTGAATGAACTGAGAACTGTGGGGACCAGTCCCTGTCCTCAGTCACTGTGCCCTGCTTCCCCACCATTGCCACACCCAGTCTTTCACTGCTGCTGAAAAGTGAACTGAGTTCCTTTCTTCCTTTGACCCATGGGAGATGGGAAAGAATGGTTGAAATAGTTTCCATCTGGTCTTGGATTTATAAGATTCTCTTTACAGAATCATTTCAAGTCTAGAGAAAAGATTGCAAAGGAGGTATGTAGGGCCAGACATCATAATTTCATCAATGCTAAAATGCAAAGCACCCTGTGAGATGAGCTCCATTAATATGACATTATAAACCCCGTTCTTCCATACTTTCCCAGAGAAATACTAGGTGCAAGCGCACTTTAATAACAACCACTCCCTATAAACCGTAAAAATGTGCTTCCGTCTTTAAAAAAAATAACCACCAAAATAATTCCCACATAAATGATTAAAACAGCATCACGTTTTAAAAGTCATTTAATATTAATAGCATATTTTAATGAAAAAGCAGCATACTTTGCCAGTAAAACATTAAAATCGTCTCTTCAATGAAAGACAATCAAACAACACTCAAAATAACTTAATACATTACCATCATAAATAAACCATCTATTAACAAAAACAAGAAACGAGATCATATACAGAACTCAAGACTTTGGAGAGCCTCAAATGGAACAGCAATTACAGCAAAACTTGTAAGAATATATCTATATGTGCATCATTTTGAATGAGATATTTACAATAGATATGGTACCAATCACTGTGTACCTGTATTTTTGTTCCAAAAGGATTCTACCAAACAATGTGAATTTACAAGCAGCGCACTGTCTTTCTTATAATTCAAATTCATTTTTCTAAAAACAAACCTCTAAAAGTGAAATAATGAATGGTTCCTATAAATGTAAAACTGTGGCAAACAAAGCAGTTGAAAACTGGAAGACTGAGATACCTTGGTGAAAAATTAAGCACCAAGTGGAAAATACACCTAAAGCTGGAAAAGATGCATTGGTCCCCAGTCGTGTTTCCAATTGCCTGTTCTCTTCTGCTACAGATGTATGTATCTGTGTGTGTGTGTGTGTGTGTGTGTGTGTGTGTGTGTGTGTAGACATGTAAGGGTGAGAGAGTGTGTGTGTAGTGGAGACAATATGGGAATCCCCATTAAATATGTAAGGAAGTAAACAATACTTCGGACAGTGAATCAGGTCTGCACGATTAAGACATCCATTACTGAGTGTCAACTCACAAATCAGAACACTACCAGTTAAAAGAAATTGAAAAGCAATCTCCGTTCAAAGTGAGAATATACAAATAGGCCAACACAGTCTAAGAGGAAAGCTGCAAGAATTCAGGAAACTTACCAAATAAAAAATTGTTGAGCATCACTAGCTATACGTTTCCCTCGGTTTTGTTCTTAGACTAAAGTTTAATTAATTAGGATGTGCACAAAATTAAGTCGCCAGAGAGATAAATTAATAATTTACAGAGGGTTGTTCGGCAATAATCTAATAGTAGCTTTCAAGATCAGTGAACACAGCAGGCGCAATTCCTTTCTTAAGCATGAACACCTCAGAAAAGGAAGGGGGTATGAACCACAATAAAAATATATATATAATATACAGTGTAAATGCAGAAAATCTGCCATCTTTTTTTAAATTCAAAATACTTTAGAGATGTCTCTATCACATTAAGCATCAACTCTAGTTTAGAGTTTCAGTCCTGACTCAATTTCTATTTCTGAAAAATAGTTGCAAAGTGTAATTTTAAACTCGAACAAGGGTGACGTCTGTAAGAATAAAAACAAACCTTACTTGCTCATTCTAGCCGGCTTTTCAAAGGCTGTTCCTCTGGCTTCCGGCAAACAGCCAGTTCCATGCTTCTTCTGAGGAAGCCGAGGTGGGGTTAAAGGGACTGCTTTGCTGCAACTTGACAAATCCCATCTTTGTTTTTCTTCACCTTGCGGAAAGGTTCACGTTCTCCCTGACTGGGGCTCAGCTGCTCGCTCCTTCCTTCGCTCCTTCAGTCCTCGCTTTCTCTGGATTCACATTTACCGGAATTGTTTCTGATCACCAAAAGTGGAAAGAAAAGAGGCAGGAGGGAGAGGAGGGGGAGAGAAAGGGGGACGAGGAGAGAGAGGACCGTCCCCGGAGAGATCAAGGGTCCCTAAATGCCGGCGGAATATTTCATTCTTTTCTGTTTCTGCCTCTGGTTGCAGAACCAGACGCGCACCACGTTTTTCTTAAGATCCAGCTTCTCCGCGATGGCGGCAATCTTCTCGGAGGAGGGCCGCGGCTGGATAGCGAAGTAGGCTTCGAGCGAGCGCTTCTCTGGCGCCGCGATGGACGTGCGCTTGCGCTTCTTCTCAGCACCGTTGAAGAGCTCCGGCTTGGTGAGCTTCTCCCGGTGGGATTTCTCAGCCTCCTCCAGCCACGCCTGCAGGATGGGTTTGAGAGCGATCATGTTGTTGTGCGACAGCGTGAGGGACTCGAACCTGCAGATGGTGCTCTGGCTGAGCGAGCCCACGCCCGGGATCTTGAGGTTGGCTAGCGCAGAACCGACATCTGCCTGGGTCACTCCCAGCTTGATGCGTCGCTGCTTGAAGCGCTCGGCGAACGCCTCCAGGTCCCGCGGGTCAGCATCCACGTCGCTCATGCAGCTCATGTGAGAGGGCAGCCCGTGCGCGTGGGCCATGCTCAGGGCCGCTTGGTGCATGGGATTCATGGTGGCCATGTGCGGCGCGTGAGCCGGCGTGGACACCACCGTGCCGTCGGGGCCCGCCATGGCTCCCAGGGCCAGCCCGGGGCTCAGGTGCTCCAGTAGCTCGCCCTCGAGCGCCTGGTGCGGCTGGTGATGGTGGTGGTGATGGTGGTGGTGGTGATGGTGGGTGCTGGCCAGCGCAGACGGGTGCGAGATGGGCACAGATGAAGAGGAGGCGGCAGACGTGCAGGGAATAGTGTTCATGGTATGGTAGGTGGCGTCCGGCTTGAAGGGGCTGTGGTGGGGCGGATGGTGGTGGTGGCTCTTGCTCTGGGAGACGATGTCCACGGCGGCCAGGGCCTCGGCACGGGCCAGCAGACTCTCATCCAGCCCGCCGAATATATTGCTCTGCAATTGCAAGTAGAAGGCGCACATTACGCTCAGCAGGGAATTGTGCAAGCTCTCTCCGGAAGCCCCGGCCCAGGGACGACACCGCCACCGAGCCCACAGCGTTCCCAGAACGTTAAAATAATAATAATGACAGTAATCCTGAAAACAGGCGGTGAGGAGAAGGGGGAAGCGGCCGAGAGAAGCCGAGAGTGCCAAAGGAGGAGGAAAGTGAGCCCGCAAACAACACAAGACAACACAACCGCGCACAGGCAGCATCCCAGGTCATAAAAATTAATATGAAAGACAAGACCCGCTGAATACTTAAGAGAGAGAGGGGGGAAAATTGGTTGGAGGTGTGGGGTGATTTGCTGTGCAGACATGAAAAAAACATCAAGCAGATAAAGGAGGCTGTCAAAATGTGCCTTTAAGCGGTGATTATGCACACATACGCACCGGTGGGGTTGGAAGACAAGCTCTCCTCATCGTCTCCGAGCCCCCGCCGCCGCCGCCGCTGCCGCCGGTGCTGCTGGAGCTGCTGCTCCGGCCTCCACCGCCACCGCCGCCGCCGCCGCCGCCGGTGCTGCTGGAGCTGCCGGGGGAGCTGGCTGAGGGCGCCGCGGGCGCGGAGGAGCCGGGAGAGGCGCTGTGCAGAGCCGAGTACTTGGGCTCCACGTGCAGGCTGCCGGCGTGCGGCATGCTGAAAGCCTGCTTGCTGTTCAGGGACATCATCATCATCTTCCCGGCTGCCCGGCGCTCGTCCGTAGCGCACTCGGCTATCAGCTACTGGGACCCCCGGGAGGAGCGCCCCGCCGAGAGCTGCAGACCCGGACCGCCCGGCAAAGTTGTGTTCGCCCACCACCGCTTCCCCGCTCCGCTCGCCTAGTCTCTTCTCCGCGCCCTGCTCCTCGGTTGCCTTCTCCGTCGGTCTAAGCCGATGCCGGGCTCCGGGTGACGCTGGCTTCAGACCTCAGCGCCCCAAAGTGCCCCCGCTCGGCGAGGCCTCCGAGTTATAGTCCTCTCTCCGCGCGCCTGCCCGCCCTCCGCCCTCCCCTCTTCACTCCCCCGCCCTTCCCTGCCAGGAAGCGCTGACTCGGGGTGGGTTTCTGCGTCACCTCGGCTCCCCTCTGCCCCCCCCCCCCCCCCCCCCCGGGCCTTTTCCTTCTCCCCGAACCCCCCCCCCCCCCCCCCCCCGGGCCTTTTCCTTCTCCCCGAACCCCCCCCCCCCCCCCCCCCCGCCGCGCTCCGGTCCTTTCACTTCTCCCAGAACCCGCCTCTCGCGCTCCCCTACGGTGCCCTCAGCTTTCCCGGCCCCCGCGTGCGCCCTGATGTCGCCGCCCCTTAGTGGGGCCGGCGATTCCTACTTAAGATCAACCCCACCCAACTGGCCGGATCAGCTCTTCAGACACCTGGCAGTGCCTACTACCTAAGTGCCAGCCTCCAGCTCCTCCCGCTTCTTCCGCCAGATTTCCGCCTCTCTGGGAAAACAAAACTCCCAAATAAAGTTGCAGTCCAAGCCAACCTTGGGCGCGACTGTCCCTAGACTGTCGGAGCACCTTGCCCCGCTGTCCCCTCTCCCGCCCCCAGCTTACCACTAAGTTTCAGGGGCCCTCCCCTCCTGTCAGCTCCGGTGACCCTGATCCCCCGATTCCTGGCCGCTGCTGGGGATCCAGACTCTGCTGCCACCCCGGGTCCTCCGCGCGCGCTGAGCTCCTGCCTGGATGCGCGCTGAGGTCAGCGCTCGACTCCAAGGACCCCACGGCCGTGCGGGTGCCTAGTGCAAAAAGACACCGGTCGGCCGGGCTGCAGGGCTTTCTCTCCCTCGGTTTCCCTCAGCTCTCAGCGGATTGGACAGCCTAACAGCCGGCTAGGGTCGCCTGTGCGCATGCGACTCCCCCCTCACACTCCCCACAACACACGCACACATTCCTCTCCCCCAACCCCTTCTCTTCCTCCACCTCCTTCCTGAGTCCAGTACAGGTCGAGTTGGGACTTAGGAAGATCCACCCGCGAAGCCTGCCTCTGGATTTATTATTCTTCATTAGCGACAATCAAAGGAAGAAGGGGTAACTGACAGAAAGAGGCCGGCCAGAAATTACAGAGCGCATGTGCCGCCGAATGCCACCTGCACAACACACACACACACACACACACACACACACACACACACACACACACACGGGGGTCTGGCATAAGTCCCACGCAGCTTCATGTCCACTGGTAGCTAACGCGCTCAGAGTGATTATTTTTGGCTTACACTTTGCTCGCACTTCCGTCGCAGCGCACACCACTTTTCTTAGAAGTGGACCTTCACTCAGTTCCAGCTGCAAAAGGAGACAGTGAGCCCTTCCTTCCCCGCTCCGACCTCCTACAAACACAGGAAAACATACGTACACACCCTTCCCCCTCCTAGGTGTTCCGATGCTGTATCTACGTCCTGTGGCATTGGGGGCTGCTTTCACCTCCCTAAAGCGAAGAAGACACTGAGTGCAGACACGGGTGAGAAGGCCCCGCGACCCCCACGCGGGACCCCTGCGGGTGGCCGGTCCGGGACGGGGTGGGGGGGTGACCGGGAGCAGGTGCGGACACTGGCAGATTTGGGAAGGCGAGCAGGTGCAAGAGCAGGCGGCAGGCCTGAGAGGCACTGGCGCGCACCAGGACAAAAACAAAGTGGAAAGCAGCGTGGAAAGGGGAGACCCATGGGGGAGTCAGCACCCAGAAACCCTATGGCGGTAGTAGCAAGTAGGGGACCTCATCTAGGAGGGATGGCAGGTTCTAGTTCAGAATGCTGGTCCAGCTGCGCGGGGTGGCGGGCGCGGGGGGGGGGGTCCGAAGGAATCGCGCCGTGGGCTCTGTCCGTGGTGCTTAAATCTCGGTAGCTTTCCTCCGCCGCTCTCCCAGCTTGCCTTTCTCTTCCCCTGTGTAAAGGAAAATAATAAATAGTAGCCAAAGGGGATTCCTGCCATCAGTGTTCCCCTACTAAGAGCCTTGAGAAGCCTGGGCTTGGGACTGGGAGAGGGAAGTGTTGACATGAATGATCGTGGTTGTGCTGGACCATTCAAGTAAGTGCTTAGGTGTTTAATTTCTACCTCAACAGCCAGGGTAATTTTCAAGAAAATAAAAAAAAATATAACATTGTGCAGTTCTCACTGTCTCAAGCTTCGCGAAATGAAATAAATCAAAGTTAAAAGCTTGAGTATCATTTAATTATAGTGCGAATAGCGCTTTGAAAGAAGTAGAACAACATCTCTAAACAAATTATGACTGGGCCAGGAAGGAATTATTAGATTGAAATTTCATTTAGGCTCGGGAGACACCGAGCTTCACTGTGTAATCTGTGATGCCTCATCTGATTTGTATGCTTAATTCAGCTTGACGAATTTATTAGTTTTCATAACAGTGAAAAAATTGAGCAGCACTGTGAGCTAATGCATCGTGTATACTATAAATTGTATGTCATCGTGGAAAGGCTGAAGTCTATAGAAATCTTTTATTAATGTCAGTATAGGAGAGAGAATTTCTGTGCAAGCCTTGGAGAGAGGCTCACGCCAAACTCCACTGCCGACGTGTCTCACTGGCCCATTAACATATCGTCATACTAATTAGACCACTTCATCAGTGATATAATTTCAAACTTCAAATTATGTTCTAATTAACAAGGGTTGTCCAATTTGCTTAATCTTCAAAAGGCTTTGAATGGTGTAATTAGTATAAACTGTTGAGCATCTCAAAAGCGCAGTAAAAATCTATAAAAATATTTTGGGTGTGCTATCAGTACTGGGTAAGGGCCAAAAGACCAAAGAAATTTGAACAGAGGAAGAAAAGAAGAGGAAGATAAATGTTTTTATTCACCGAGTTCCCTCAGATTATTATAAAGAATGAATCACAGGAGAAAATTTGGGGATTTTAAACTTCTAAACAGTGTGTTTATGTGTTTGGATAAAGCCACAAGAATATCAAGAAAGAAACCACAGGGGAGAAAATTCTTCTCTTTCATTAGGTGCCTAATTAGATGTAAAGCCAAACGGAACCCTGAGGAGTTACCCAAGCATCTTTGTGGCAAGAGTCTGCCTAACTTGAGTGGAAAAATCAAATATTTGGGGTGTTTTGAACCTCTCCTTGTCCCCTCCTCTTTCATGGAGCTTAATTACTTGCAATAGTTGTATTAATGTATGTTGTCACCTGGGAGCATTGAGAAATGCATATCGTTAATATGAATTAATCTTGATTTTAATAGCAACTGACAACTGATCTCCAAAATGCTAAACACTTGTCACCACTTCATATGGTAAATAAGATAGTATAATAAACTCATGATAGGGAGGGGACCTTTGAAATAACTGGACAAACTTTGCTTGATATGAAAGTTATTGACTAAAACTAAGCAAGAAAACTCCCATGAGACTATTTTCCTGGCTATTGAGGTCCACATGTCTTTAAGTTAACTTTAAATAACTTTTTTCATCTCAGAGACATTTTTAAGTGGTACCTCTAATTCCAGATAGGAAAAAGGACACCTCCCCGTCTCCCCTCTAATTATCAAGTAGAGATGAATATATGATTGGAGAGTAATTCAAGAGTTTATGTCCATGTATTTCCTTCTGCCTAGAAAACACATACATTTTTTAAAAGTGAAGTCAGAGTTAGACTTCTTTTCCCACTCAAAGTGAAAAATGAACAACAGTGATCGTGTTGCATTAGAGAGAAAATGCAATTCTTCCTTCATCACCTCAACTTGCAACCTTGCAATCTCTCCTTCAGGAAGTGTCCAGAATACCAACATTCTCATGGTGATATCAATAAAACCCATTTCAGTCTTGCCCACAGGCACTGTTGCAAAGTGCTCCAGTGACTGTAGAATGTAGCCGCTGCTCTTGGAGGATTCTACCCCCCAACCCCCACCCTCCCACACACAGTTAGCAGGAGCCATTTAAACTATTGGAAAGTTGGAAATAAACCTAAGGGGTGGGACTAAATGGACCCAAATTGGAAACCTGCACAAAAGGAGCTCAACATGCTCTCTGCCCAGGCCCCTCTGCACACTCGGTGCCTCTGCCTAGTACATATCTATTTAAGTAAATGGAAACCCCAGAAACATTTTTAAAGCAGAGGGTTGGGAAGTGTATCAGCTATGTGATTGCAAGAGGAGCCTGTCTTTCTTCTTACTCAGCCTCTTTGTTTAACAATAGCTTCTGTCCCATCCACCTGCAGTGGCAGACAAATGTGAATTGCCTCCCTCCAGGCAAAGAGGAGTCCACCAAGAATTCCCGATAGAGGAGTCACCTGCGGTACACCCTCCCCCCCAAAAAATCAACTGATACCTGATGCCATTCCAAGGAGAGAAATCATTGTCTCCTCACTTCTGGGTCTTAATTTACTATTAAAATTTTAAGTAGTGCATTCATATTTTACTGGACTTAATGTGTTTTATTAAAATTTAATCTATTAAGGGCAGTGTGATTTCTTTGTATTTCAAACAGAATTGAATTGGACTACAAGAAAGATTTCTCAAAAGACAGATCTGGTCCTATTCTGTGCACCATCCTGCTCTTGAGATACATGGGCTTTGATGAAGAAAAGAAGGAACAATGGATTCTCCAGTCCCATTTTCCACATTACAGGGGATGCAAGATCAGCCAAACCGCTTCTGATTCTGAGTGGAAGATGAGTCCCTGAGCTCTCTCACTGGACACTGACTTGAAATGGGGGGAGGGGGCATGAAATGCCCAGGCCTCAGCTGTTCCCAGGAAGAAAAACAAGAGGAGAAAGGAGGAAATTATTCCTGAAGCCAAGACTTAAGAGGACTTCCAAGGATCTATGGTAAAGTCATGGTAGGAGGGCACTTTGGACACTGGGTGTTTAGAGAGGGATCTGATTTCCTCCCCAAATCTTTTCTTGTCCACCACTTGTGTGCGTGTGTGTGTGTGTGTGTGTGTGTGTGTGTGTGTGTAGCAAACTTTGCCCTAAGGGGATCAGAAGGAAC